AGGTGTGTGTGTGTGTGTTGGGTAAAGAAGCTGTAAAATCTGACAGATTTTAGTGTACGCCTGTGCCATTTAATTGCATTTATTGGAAACTAGCAGCGCTATCACAATCATACCGCTTCCCATGAGATCGAGGGACTTTAGCTGCTGCTGCTCTGCTCCAAAAACAGACAAAAACACTCTTGAAGTCATAGCTTGTTTATAGAAGTTCAAATCTGTGTCAAGTTTGTGTGGTTCTATTTCATGAGCAAATAACTTGTTTCACTCATAAACCGCCGTTGATAATGTTACACCTGAGAGCAATCTAGCCGGTCTCAAATACCAATGTATTTTTAACCAATCGGAAACAAGAATACCAAACGCTCCGTGTGGAAACTGACATTCCTTTTGGTGACGTCACATACAAGTACTTTAGACTAAATAAAAAGTTACAAAGCCTTTAGTGTCATATCAGACGTTGGAATAACCACTGTTCCTTTTCATAGACCCATGATTGTAATTAGATAGTGTAAAAGGGGTAACTGAAAAAGTTCTGTGGCAGTTCGTCTGTAATTACTGCGCATGCTCTAAAATCAGCCATATTGGATGTGGAAGAAACCTTGGGAGGAGTAAGTACGTAAACTAAACTTGAATATTAGAGCAGAATGATCATGTGGGAGGATTTAGTCTTTATCCAAAGGCCCTAGCATTCGACAGTGTGGTGTCGGTTGGTTTCCCGTTTCTATCTGCCCACTCTTAAAGAGTTATTTTAATAAGCCCACGAGACCTAGCTAAAATTCATCGCTTTGTGTTTGGGATTTCTGATGTATAACTAGAAGAAATTCTCTAATAAATGTTTTTATGGCTGTTTAAGTCAGGGGGAAATGAAAATTGGAATATTTTATTACTCCCTGGCGATGCTACATAATTGAACCTTGTAGAATTACTGTTACGGAACTAAATATCATCATTCCTCATTGAGGAAATCAAGTCAATTCTGTTTGAAGTGATAAGAGTTAATTTGAAAAAGACGTTTGATAGATTTTGTAAATTGAATTAGATGAATGGCCAAAAAAAGCTGATTGTTATTGTTGAGATCTATTTTCGTTTAATTTCAAAAGGAATTTCCAAACCTTAAGCAGGAAATGTTGGTCTGGTTTAATATGGACTGAAAATCCATTAGGTCCAACACATTGGCTTACAATCACACCATTTCATTGCACTTTCTGCCTGTGAACAGTTTGTAATGTCGCAGCAGACAGTAGTTACATTGGTGAATTTGTCATATTATGGACAACTGCCAAGAATGACATTCTTTTTGGTGTACAATATTGACTGAGAATCCAAACCGTTTCTAAAGAGTTAAAACTGCACTTGTTTGTTCTCTAAAGTAATTAATGGTAAGTCCAGCATGTCATCACCAGTTTTTTTGGAGAAATTGTAATGTTTTCAATCTAAATTAATTTATTAAAGTACCCCCCTTTTTTTTATACTAATGATCTAAAATCTTATATTTCACGTTGTTGTGATAATACCAAACTTGATGTTACACATCAGATTGAATCAAAATTTTCCTAGAAAGCTTGATATGAGAGATTTTGATTGCAGTTGATTTATTCAATTCATTTTCTGCAGCAGTAGTTTTATGAATAATATATTGCACTGGTATGATGTATATATAAATGTTTAAAAATCAAAGAATAAAGTAATAGAAATCAGCTGTGTATTTGTATGTATGGTGCTCTACTAAGTATATTTTTTCATGAGGTCACATCCAGTCATCAATATCAGTATCCATTATTGAACTGCACATGGTTTGAAGTTCATATCTTGATTCTGCACAGTCCTTCAGGGTTAGAATTGAATCAATACATTTAGACTTGGGATTTGTGATCAGATTGCTGTTAGAAGCCGGCTGTTAAAGTCCATGCTATATGGCATTGTTTATAGCAGTGGTAATGCAAGAGATAGTAATGATGTTCTGTAGTGATATACCAGTTTTGTTTGAAGCAAAGCATTTTGTTTGCTGAGAACTGCTGAACACTGGCTTACAGAAGACATTTTCTGAAGGAAGCATACTAGAAAAATGTGATTGATCACAGATTTCATGTTTTATAGAGATTTGTAATAAAGAGTACTTGAAAGGTTTTTTAGGTTGTGATAAGGGTCCTGTGTTTGTTCTGTTGCTTTGACATGTTTTGTACCTGAGAACCAATTGATATTCTGCCTTTTGTGATCTTGTGTCCAAGCAAGTATAACAATTTTTAATATTCAGTCCTTCGATAAAACTCATCTAGATGCACACTTTTCTATAAATACATTTCTGTAGTGAGTATAAGATCTGTTTAGAGTTCTTGCAAAAATCAGAGATCCATTGTTATTTGGTCGTTGAAGTTTGAGAAGATGACTCTTGAGGGCACAGTAGATGAAACATTGATTTTCTTCTGTTCCTGTGAAGGGTTTTCATTGGTTTAACCTGGCCTGACTTTGGATCCTTTTTTTATAGGGCAAATACACAGTTGGTATTTAATATTTAAGGGATGTCCATTTGATGTACAAACCAATCTTTTCTGGCATGTTCACAGTCTGACAAACCTAGACAAAGAATGAACCAATATATGTCACCAGACTGTTTGAAATTTTAAGTTCTAATTAAGGTGCTATGGATGTCCCTATGTATTCTGATCACCCGTGAAGGTAGTTTGTCTATTCTAGCTATATTATAATTACTTCTTAAATTTGAACAAAATGAATTAATGGTATTCTTTGAAACAGTGTTTTGTTAACATAAAACATACAAATATTGACTTAGAAGTTCCAAATACTAGGTTGGTATCATGTCAAAGTGCATTTTTGTGAGGTAAAAGCTTAAAATAATTAATCTTGATTAAGTGATATACTGGGGTGTTTGAAATTTTCTATCAAGTATGCGGCATGCCATGTTAGTGTTTTTTGTGAATAAACCTAATCTTTTTTAGTCTGTGATCTACGTTGTAGCAATTAAATGACCAGATGCTATATACCAGCTTCATTATAAGTCCAAAGTGAAAAATATTATCTTGGGATAAATTATCGGATATGTTTTATTCATTTCCAAGTGGATCTCTAGAGATGTCTTTTTAATTTATTAAATTATTTTATTTATTTATTTAAAGTTAGTTTTTGTTTAAGTGGTGCTTTATTTAGACATGTAAGAAATTTGACATGTGTAAGCAAAATTGTGGATATGTTTTGGTGATTTTATTATCTAAAATCATTATCTAAGTTGGTATCATTTTATTTATAAGTTAGGCAAAAAGAAGCAAGTTCAAATTTTATGAAGCACTAGCCTGAACGTTGTAATCTTGAGTCTATTTTAACACTCAGTAAAACATGATAACTATCTTTGCTCCAAAAGTTGATTCACTGATCGTCATGTGGCATTCCTACATTTATGTTGCATGGTATTGGTACAACAGCATCTTTAAGACTTAACGTCATATTTAAGTACTGCAATGAACTATGTTGGTGTACTTTACAATTGTTTGTTTGTGCGCATTTGTATGAAATTATGCATGATTTATTTCCGTAATATTCAATTAAGCACATGCTTGCAATATTTTTGTCTTTTTAAAATTGCCAGTTTTTGATCACAGGGAAAAAGGAAAGGAAAGAAGTCTGCGTCAAGACTTACAAACAGTTTAATTTAGTATGAAAAAAGAGGGAACAGGTCGAAATGGCTCTATAAAAGTGCCTTTTGATACCCGAATCCAAGTGTCACATGATTCCTATCACTTGACTATCACATCACATGAACTTTTTCAGATAGCTCGAAGTGAAAACTCCTTTCTAAATTTATGAAATACAGCAACAAATTCACATACATAATTAATAACACAATTGGACAGTGATTATCTCATTAGTTAAGTTTCTTGATAACACCTTGAAAAAAAGAAACAGTGCTGTATCTCTTGCTTAGTAATACAACCTTCAGATTTTCTACTGTGACAGCTTAACCAAAGAGCCCATTCAGAACAGATGATCCTCAGATGAACTGATCCGCAGATCAAATATGGCCGACCCATCATAATAGGAAGTAGCTTTCTCTCCTAATGGTGTTAAATTCATTCCACCACAGATTAATTGGTTGGTAAAAAATGCTGAGGTTTTGTTTATAATAAAGAAATATGTTCTTCTTTCAAAACCACAAGTTAAAAGCAAATTGTCTTTTTTATCAGTAGCAAATGGTTACACCAACGAGACTGTGTGCACCACTGACTATTGTAGACGGTTTAGGTTTCAATATATATAAAGCCTTGTCATACTTAAATTTTGGAAGTTATACTGATTGGCAAAAAGATATTCCATATACCTTAAAGTTTCCAGTTGGGATATCCAGGGGAACATGAGCGTATTTTAAAGTTTTTAACTTTGACTTGAATTTTAAGTATTGTGACTAATAGCTTGAGAATGTTTTTCACAGTTAAGCTCTTTAGTTCCAATATATAGGATTGTCAAATAAGCCCTAGGGTATTTCCCCTGCCCCTCCCCCTCTTTTTAAAGAAAAAATGTAAAAAAAATTCAACAAAGCATCTTTTTAGTTGACATGCTGCATGGAAATTGGATCACTGATAAGCAAAACAGAAAATGTTGGTGATGGTGTACATGCGACACATTTTCACTTTTGCTTATCAGAGTTGCTAGTTTTGTAATTTTTTTTCTTGCTGGTGGTGGGAGGGAGGCTGGCCATTGTCATTTGTTTTTCAGTGATAATAACAATAAGTAATAAGGTGTGGGACAGTGACTGAAGATAGGGATGCAGAAAAACATGACAGAATTAATGTCCTGGGTTTTACATGTTAGTAACAATGACTAAAGAAGGGCACACCTATAAAATAGGACAGTATTGTTTAAGTGCAAATCTTACACAAGATGCTTGTTTGTGACAGTGTGTTAAGTTAGTCGTTTGTGATTGTTCTTTTGGACACGCCACTTGAATTTCAGGAATGCGCAATCCAAACAGATCGGGCTACATGTCAGAGGACTAGGAAAGAAAACAAGGTGACAAAAGGTGTGACATGAGGCCTTTATTTGCTGTTCTATTCACCTGGTCATACATCCTGCATTGAGTATAGGGGATTGTGTTTTAAGCCTTTAAACTACAGTCAAAAGAGTAAAATGGAATCATATTGATTCTTATAGCTGCAGTCAAAGGTAAAGAATGTTATTATAACAGGATGGTTGAAGGTACCTATAAACCTATAATCTTCTATCAGTAGGTTTGGGATAGGATTGCCACGTGATGGCATTATTCTGGGATATGGAAAATGATGGGGGAAAAAGCCTGCTGAATTGAAGTCATAAGTGATGTAGTCCAGTACAGAATGGCAAATGTTACTCATGTAGAAAATCTTTTGTATACTAATCCAATTAAGTGATCTTCATAGTAATTGAGATCCTGTAATTAATATAGCTACGCTGCACAAATCCCATATGAGAAGTAGTATTATGTCATTAAAATCTTTTCAAATAACTGGTATTGGTTGAGTCTGTGATATCCAACTTCGCTGCACCTGCTGGTCATATAGCTGTTTTAAGACCATTGGAGACTAACAAGGGCCACTGCCACTAGCCCACCTTAAACAAAGGATGGCTTGTTTAGGTAATTGATCATGTGGGTTATCTCCGAAGAATTGATAAATATCACAATAAGAAGTCCGTACATACTGTATAGTTCAACTGTTATGGTTTGGCATGAGCAGATAAGATGACAGAAGTTCATAAAGCAGGACTTGGAAGTTGTGAAGACTATCAAATGATGTGAAGGGAAGGCTGCGGTTATTTTTGTCCTCAGTATTGGGAGGCAAACATCAGGTGATGGGTTTGAGAATTGTTTTGTGTTCTCTGCAGATAATTAGTGCCAAATGATTACTAATGTACAGACACAAAGCTGTCTGTAAAATCTATGGTGTCACAAACAGTATTTATTTTCATGATCAACAATAGTTAACCTATTTCAAATTAATATGTTACAGTCCAAATTGTGTGCACTAAGGGCAAACAAATTGCTTTGGGATGGGTAGCATTACATGTGGTCTGTGATTTGTAGTCAGAGCTGCAAACAGTATAGCTCTAATATAATTTTTTTGCATATTTTAATATGCTTAATGTTGTTTAAAAACAATAAACAAACACTTGTAAATAAAACAGCTGAATAGCAAAAAGAAAGAAAGAACGTGCATAATTGCATGAAGTTGGCAACATTGTATATTTGAGTGTCCTATAAGGACTAAAGGCTTTGTACAGGATCTCTTTGAACCTGTAATGTACACATTACCATATTGAAGACCATTAGGAATGGCCTGTCAGTGCATGGATTATACTCCATTTTTAAATAACCTTCCAGAAATGTTCTTTATGAAGGCCAAATGATGTTCAAGGGAAACACCCCGCAGGGATCTGCCTGGGATACCTCCACATTGTTGGGATTCTAGCAATAAATGAAGTTCTGTTTGCATGAGTGCAGTAGTGATATGAATGTAAAGGTATAAATAACATGGCATCGATAATGCTTTAGATAGAGGAGTGCAGTCTTTGTGTCACAGCCTGGGCAAATGAGGATCATTAAAGACTTGTTATTTTTGCATGTTAAGATTATGAGCATTGAATGATCCATATTGGGGAGTGTTTATAACCTGATGATTTCAAATGTTTCATATCCTGGATCAAATGACATTGATTCATGGTTCATGCAGTTATTCAGCGAATTCTAACTCTTTGGTCTAATTCCATACCCAAGGTTTTCAAAGTTCACTTGTGGCGTCAGTCACAAGAACAATAACAAGTAAGGCCAACCATTCACGCTCTAGCCCCTTTTGTATTTATCGGATTCCCCAGCATCTACATGGTGCAGTGTTTCTATAGTGATTGGTATTTATTTGTTTTGTTGTACATGTGTGTAATGCATTCAGGTCATGATGTCAGTGAACTGCAGAAGTTCACTATAAAGATTCACAGTGGAAACAAAGAGCAGCTAAATTGGTTTGTGCTCTCTGTTTGTCACTTTGTCATCTCTTTGATTTTGATTTTGAACTGACAAACATATTAAGAGTAGATGGATAGGGATGTAATGTTTCAGCACTAACATATCTGTAATTTGTTGTGGGGGATTATGTGTGTGTGTATTGGGGAGGGTTATGGGGGTCTCTCCTAAAGAAAGCAGTAGCTGAACCACTACTACTAGAATAGGTATATCAAACATTTATTATTATTATTACAAAATTATACTTATATATAACATTTTTTTTCAGTTGCAGAACAAAATCCTTGATGTCTCCATGTGAACAGTGTAGGCTGTCCTACTTGAGCAGCAGGTAGAGAAGGCACCTGTTGTGTCAGAGCGCCTCGTGATGCCTTCCCTACCTAAAGCAGGTAGCATTAAAGACCCAGAGGTTGCTGCACTTTTCGCAACTGACGACCCAGAAAAATTATTTTTGGACCTGCGAGAAATTGGTCATGGAAGCTTTGGGGCTGTGTATTATGTGAGTATAATAACTTGGATTTGATTATGTATTTAGACTGAGATTAAGTGCAATTGTATAAAATAGCAGGTTAAAAAATTCAGTCACATTTCGGAACTTGCTTCTTATGTGAGCTAACTGAATATTGTTTTTCAATAAGGAGAAAATGTTTATCTTGGTGTCAGTCTCGTAATGAATAACTTTGGTCCTATCTAAATGAGAAAGTCCAATTAACGCACTGTTTGGACATGCAGTATTTTTAATTCAGATATTTCCAGATTAAAATTTTACATGTATTAATTTTTTTTCCAAGGCCCGACATGAACCAACTAAAGAAGTTGTGGCTGTCAAGAAGATGTCCTATAGTGGAAAGCAATCTAATGAGGCAAGTTGATTAAAAGTTTGATACTTGATTATTGGACTATTTTAATTGTACCACAATGGATAGAATGTTATACATATTTGAACAAACTATGGTTTTATGTCACAAATATAAAGTTACCTTTACCTTTGGGTCTGTAATATCATACAAGTAAAAGTTATTATTTCATAACTTTCACAGCAATACTTACAAGAGGGTGCATACATTGCATGTGTGTCAAATGAGCTTACTCTTCTTTCTTACAGAAATGGCAAGATATTATAAAAGAAGTTAGATTTTTGAAAGAACTAAAGCATGACCATACTATTGACTACAAAGGGTGCTATCTTAAAGAACACACAGCATGGGTAAGTCCATACACTTAACACTACAAGGCTTAAAAATGATACAAGATAAAATAAAAGCAGCCAGCCAAAGTTATTTTCGAAGCAAACAATTTTTTCTTATTCACATTTTTTCTATGCATAGAATGTATATTAAAGAGGTTGTACATCATCTTTGTCATTTATAGAACTAAAGCCTGGGCACACCTACTACTAAAGCAATTTAGATAAGAAAGAATTTCTTATTGAATTACAAAAGTCTGTTCAATAGTAAATGCTTCCTTGTCTTGAAGCAGTAAGGTCACTTGATTTTACTCCTTAGAATACTTACCCTGCTACTTACACACACTTGAGATAAGAGAAAAATGTTACCTGTGATTTCATATTTCAGCTTGTGATGGAATATTGTGTTGGTTCTGCGTCAGATATCCTAGAAGGTACATAAGATTAGAAAAGTGAAACAGATCAGATCAGATAAATAAGATGAATTTATGTAGTGCTAACTTTTTCAAATGACATCTTCAATTTAAATGTAAGATCATTTAAAAGATGTTTTAAGGTGTAGAAATCTCAAGAGTTGAAATGTCATGTTGTGTCGGTTAGAAAGTGAAAAAGAAAAGAGATGAATATAATTTTTAAAAACCTATAAAATATGGCTATTGATATCAATGTCTGTAAAATAAAGTGGACAGATATCACTTTTCTGTTTAATATCACTGACATTTTATGCACAGTGTCTTTTCTTTTACAGTGCACAAAAAACCTCTGAGAGAAGATGAAATTGGAGCCATATGTAAAGAATGTTTGTTAGGTCTTTCCTACCTCCATTCCTTAGGAAGAATACACAGGGATGTGAAAGCAGGCAATATATTACTGACAGATGCTGGGATAGTCAAACTAGGTAGGTGGAGACAAATTTGTGGTAGGCAAATGTGACAAATTTGGTCTTGGTTGTACAGTTGGTGTGACAACTGCATTTTTAGTTCAAAACTATTAAGTTCATAGAAATGATATGAAATGATCAATGAATTGGTGAATGTGACAAATAATTGTTTTAAAATTTGTCAGGATATTTAATTTGTGGATATGGAAATAACTTGACATTTGAAGAAATGAAAGTCTGTTGATTATAAGCATTATTGTAATTAGGCATTTTCACATAGAATTTTTCAGTATATTCAGTCTTGAAATGTTGCAGTACAGTTTTCTGTCACAGTTCATAATTTCAAGTTACACGTTATACATTGAAATTTTATTTTTTTCAATGTAGCTGACTTTGGTTCAGCTTCCATAGTGTGTCCAGCAAACAGTTTTGTGGGCACCCCATACTGGATGGCCCCAGAGGTCATCTTGGCCATGGACGAGGGTCAGTATGATGGCAAAGTGGACGTCTGGTCATTGGGCATCACATGTATAGAACTGGGTAAGTTTAGGTTGAAATACACACTAATGCCGAAAGATGTATATATTTCAAATGTGGATTACTGAAATCCAGTCATCAACATAGGGTACAGTCCACATCTTCAGAAATTATGGGTTAGATTATTTTGTTTCACAGATGTAAGGCAGTATAAATTACTTTATAGTTATATTCCAGGTACCTTAATGCCTTTGGAATTTGTAACAGTTAAATCTGAGATAGATGATATGGAGAATGTGCGTATTTACACTTGTAAGTTTTTGTTTCAGCTGAGAGGAAGCCCCCACTGTTCAACATGAATGCAATGAGTGCCTTGTATCATATAGCACAAAATGACTCGCCTAGTCTATCTGGAGGGGAATGGTCCGAGGAGTTTCGGGTGTTTGTAGATTCTTGTTTATTGAAAAGTCCAACTGAAAGACCTACTACAGAGGAGTTGCAAGAGGTAGGGATTTGTTCAGTTTGAAAATAGTTGGTGTGGTGAAACCTATTATTGAACCAGTATTCTGTTTGATTTATTTATGAAAATATTGTAGTTTGGTGTATAAAGATGTGAAGATGAAATGACAGTATTTGAATAGTGTTCAAATAGATTTTTGTCATGAGAGATATTAAGTATAGGTCTGAAGTTTCATGGTCATAAACAGCAAGTAGTCATCTTACCCTGTCTAATTTTCAGCATCCATTCATAACAAGTAATAGGCCTCCAAATGTGCTCACAGATTTAATAGAAAGGACAAAGAATGCAGTGCGTGAGTTAGATAACTTACAGTATCGCAGGATGAAAAAAATTCTAATGGCAGATACTGAAGAGAGAAGTGTGAATGGTCCCATTTCAACAATAACAGAAGAGTCAAGTGATATACAGGTAAAATACTTCTATGTAGAATTATTGGGTGTAGTGTTGCATAGTAATATGTAAAAATTGTAGGACTAGATCAGATATGAAAAATGTTTCAACATTGAAAATATTAATAACCAAATTGGTTATAATATTTCTAAGATACATGTGAACCTATGGAAATGATGAAGTTTGTAATTGACAATTTATGTTACAAATTATCTGCATGAGTTAATTGTAAGTGGTTTGTTAATTAATTTAATTCATTTTTTTTTTTTTTTTTTTTTTTGGCAATAAGCCTTAATGCACATCTCACACAATTTCAAAACATTCAGATATTAAATACCTTTCTTTACTGTCAAAATTAATGGTATTGCGGTCATTACAATAATTATTTCTGTTATTCCAGGAGGATGACTCCTCTATCTGTGACAACAGCAGTAGCCGTGCTAACAGCATCAACAGCACACAGAGCATTAGCGAGGAGATCAGTAGCCATAGTGGTAGCCAAAACAGTCTTCCAGGAGCAGGGGCCGGGGATGATCACGAAGTTACAAGTCTTCATAGGCCTAGAACCAAGTCGTCCAGATCTAGGGTGAGTGCATTGGTCTGAATAGTGATGAGGTCTGTAGTGTGAATTAGTGCACATCATTTTGGAAATGGTGTAGATTTTCATGTAGTGAAGATTTTTGTCCTTTATGCTCTGCTCTGCAGTCAAAGCTAAAGAAGTAGTTAATGCCGTATAATCTCTCAGGGGGACAGAATAGTGGAATAGGTGATGCATCGAAAAATTTGCTTTACCTTTATATGGATATAAATGTCTGACATTTAAAGAAAAGAATCCAAATATTCGTGTTGTTACTGTTTTCTTCTGGATTCCAGGCCACCAGTGGGAGTGTAGAACGTTCCAATAACTTTGCCACCATTAGGACGACCCACATACTCAATAAAGAAGCCAAGGAGCATGAACATGAAAACGAGTTACGAGAACAGATGTCTGGGTACAAGAGAATGAGGAGACAACACCAGAAGATATTACAGCAGGTTAGTGGGGATAGATTTAAATCAAGTCTATATGTGACATACAAACTTTGGACTAAATAAGAAAAAAGATAAGTAAGTAAAAGTTTCTTAACGTAATTGTTTTGATCATACTTTTCGTGAGACAGGTGAAGCAAATGAGTTTTGAAAAAAAAAACTGCTCTGATAGATATATCCATTGTTGTGTGATAAATAACGTTAAATCCATGGGCATTCTAAATTTATTATATTTCTGGGTTTTAGGTTGAAAGTAAATTCAAAGTTGAGATGGAAGACCACAAACAGAAATTAGACAAAGAATATGAGACTTTAATACAAACCTTAACAAAAGAGCTGGAAAAGCTGAGATCAAAGCACCTTGGAGAACTGGACAGGAGGGTACGTTGAGCAACATTTATTGGATCATTGTAGAAAACTATTTTAAATGTTTTTGATGTAATAAACCCTCTGTCATCGACAAATTTTTATCTTTTATGAAATATTCCTTTTCAGACACGACATAACCAGAACGCAGAGAAGAAACTGTGGAAAAACATAACACAGCAGCAGGAGACGGATATGAAAATGTTTGTGCAACAGCAGAAAAAAGATTATAAACTAAATAAGGAGCAAATTAAAAAAGTATGTTTTATAAATTAGAATTATTAGTTTGTAGACATACATGCAAAAAAAAAAAACAAAAAAAAACAGTGCAGTTTCTTATGTGACTTAGAGAAGATACCATATATCTTCATGTTAACTTTGTAGCTTGCATATTGTACAAATAATACATTAAAAATAATTTCTTTTTAATATCCTGTATGCAATTCCGTGGAATCTTGGGGACAGGCAATTGATTTGCTGAAAGGTCAAGTGTTCTTTCGCAACAATAAGATTATAGCAGATTCATTTGTAAAATGTAACCTGTTTGACTATATTCAAAATTTTTAATTATTTACAGCAAATTGATGATGGCACCCCTAAAAAGGTTCGTGAAGAGAATATTCGCACACACAAGGAGACACTGCAACAACAGCAGCAGCAGGAGGAAGGCAAACTGATCAACCAACAGAAGGTCGTATTAGAAAAGGAAATCCGCAAGTTCAGAAGACGGAAGCTGCTTCAGTATCACACTCTGGAACAGGAATTGTTACGCGAAGTAGGCATTGTGGTGGCTTTGTGGTTTGGGAAAAGTGAAGATAGTTCAGAGCAACATTTTACGCATGTTTGTTAGAGTAGCAGAAATTTGGGTTCTAAAGAATGTAGTTTCAGGCTTAATGTATTGAGATTTAAATATTCTAGATACTCATCTGAATAACAGTAGAAACAGTAGATTACTTTCTTCTTCTATCTTGGGCACATTGTATGAAGAAGGTATGAAAAAAGTTCAAAGCTTGGTTTAAATATCTCAATTTATTTTAGTTAAATTAAAAGTATTTTATTTTTTATTTATTTATTTTATTTTATTTATTTTTTCATTAGTTTATTTATTTATTAATTTATTTTTTTCATTTTATAGGAAATAAGTAGGCGTCAAGCTCAACTGGAGTTCTCCCACCAAATGCTGCTGAGGCATCACGAGTCCACACAGGATCTGGAATACAAACAGATGGCAGCAGTGCATAGGTTACGCGACGACCAGATGCGCAAGCAACACCAGACTGAACTGGCCAACCAGAGAGAATATAACGGCAGGATGGAGAGGGAGTTGAAGAAGAAACATGCTCTGGAAGTCAAGCAACAGCCAAGGAGTTTGAAGGTAAGTATTGTTTATACATCCATATAAGTATGAATAAAATCTTACTGAAGATAACAAAGGTCTAGTGTTATGCTGTTTAGTCATAGTATAAGTCTTAAAGTGCTGAACTTAACAAGTACAAATGTTTTGAATTCTTTTCCTTTAAGTGTTGTTTGATTGTAATAAGTAAATAAGACAAGTATCCCAGTATCAACAATGTTAACCATTTATTCACATGTGATCTACTCTGATGTTTTCAGCAAAAAGAGCAGCAAATAAGAAAGCAATTCAATGACACCATAAAAATTCAGCAGAGACAGTACAAGGCACTGAAAGATCAAATTCTTCAAACAACACCCAAAAATGAGCAGAAACAGGTGATCAAAAAGCTGAAGGAGGAACAAATGAGAAAGATAGCTCAGCTAGGAGAACAGTATGAGAATAGCATTGCTGAGATGCTGCAGCAACAAAATGTAAGTTCAAGGCTGCAGTTTCAATTCAGTTACGACCTGTCTTAAGATGGGTCTATCTCATCAGACCTTGTAATAACAATTTCTTACCATCCCCACCACTGCTTATTGCAGCATGGCCATGTACCTTCATTATACTGGTGGTAGGTGGGACCGCACACTGATTCCGTTAACTCTTGTGGTTAGAAAACATAATCACAGGATTAGTTAAGCTGTCACAACTTGTCTGTAAAAAGTGCTATTATTTCAGCTAGAAGCTTTACTTTAAAACAGTAGAATGTCACAAGGCATTTAGAAGAATGTTTGAATTATGACAAAAGAATCGTGAACATGAAAACCACAAGGTGTTAGCTAAATGGATTACTCCAGTATTTGGATATTGAAAATGTTTGAATGTACACACCACTAATTTCCAGTACATGTTTCAGTTTGAACAGCTGTTTGAGGTTTACACTGCCATTGCTATGAACACCTGGCATTCAAAGTTCACATAATTAGGATAAAATTAGTAGCATGTCATAAGTGCAATTAAAGAACAGAAATGAATCACACTTTATTTGTCCAGTATGTGATATAATTTCCATTTTTTCATTGTTTGAAAGTATAGTTAAGTGGATCAAAATATACACTTACATAACATAAGGACATTACGTATTTCTTTTACAGATTAAATTAGATGAATGCCAGATATCTGAAGCCAATGAGCTGAAACACAGGCTGGACCAGGAGCTGGAACTGCTGATGGCTTATCAAAGTAAAATCAAAATGCAGCTGGAGGCCCAGCACCAGAGGGAGAAGAAACAGTTAGAGGAGAGAGTGTCATTGAGGAGAGCTCTCTTAGAACAGAAGGTAAGAATCATATACAGAATGAAAGTGGGCAAGTATATTAGTTTAAAGCAAGCAGGGTGATGCTGTGAAGCAGTTTCTTATATTATTGCTTGCATTTAAATCTTTTTGATTTGAATTCTTATTAATACCATTGAGAATTGAGTATTTGGTTTTCTCTGTTTTTAAAAAGAATTGGCAGATATAGCCATCTAGCAGTGTATTTTTTCTCTGGCATATGCTTTTTTGTTTCACCTTAGATGGAAGAAGATATAAATCAATTCCAAGCAGAAAGGTCAGAGAGAGTGCGTAAACTCCATGAACGCCAGGCTCAAGAGATAGAGGAGTTTGACCTACAAACGACAACTATGGGACTAAATGCTATAGAAATTGCCGAGTCAGTTATGGAGGAGCAGTTTCAAGAAGACGAAGTCAGTATTAGGGGAAGTGTCCTCAGTCTCAGCACCAGTAGCAGCAGCAGCTCTTTTAGCCAGTGGCAGCAACAGCAGCAGTCGGCTACATGAAGGCTAATAGCAATAGTAAATGCTGAGACTGGACAGTAAGGGGGAATCACCTTGTAATTGAATTAAGGGTGACGTACCTGGCACATTTGGGCTGAGGACAAAAGCACTCCTCAGTATTTACTTGAAGACGAAAAACCATTCTCTATGTAACTGAGGTTGAAAAGCCTCTTCTTTCAGGATGAAGCACCCTCAATATGGGTGGATGTCAGATTACTGCTCTCTCTAGTACTGTCTGGTATAATTAAAACATGGTAAAGGGGAAATTTTCCCTGAAATAACTTCTTCCCACAAGGCACTACTAAACAAATAATGGCACTGAGGCAGTTTTGTAGACATCTTTTTTTTTTGTATTATACCAATTGTACCAGCTATGTATAGTTCAGGTAACTTAAGTATATAAATGCATATATGAAGATGCTGCCTTTGGCAGCGTATGTACTGGCCAAGTCCTGTGTCTACATATGTGCTCCATATAGGTCTGGGGCTCTGTGATGTTAATACTCATCTTCATCAATGTTCAAATCAAGACATTTGGTAGTAGATATGTTTTTTGTGTCAGCCTATATAAACAACCCATTATCACACTGTATTCACAATTACAGACAAACTTCGATTTCACTTCCATCAACACTTGAGCATCCCTGGATTGCTTTATCATTTTTATTATTATTATTACATACGCCATTCTAACCTCTTGAATTTACAAGTATACAAAGCAAGCATAATAGATGTTCCTTACTTGAAATTCAATATGTGGGTATTTCGACACTAATGATTAATTTTATTGGTGAAATATTATCATACCAGTGTCCACTATAAATTATCTCTTAGCTATAGCAGTAAATGAATGTGTATTAGTATGGTATTTGTACAGCTGGTTTATATTATAAATAGCATGTGCAATAAACAAACCCCAGGTAATATGTGATGTAAAAATATGCTGCATTTGAAATCGTAAAAGGAAAAATGTAGGGGTTATAATTTAGTCAGTTTGCTTGGATATCAAATTATAGCTGGGGGTAATCCAACTTGAAAGCAATTTTCATTTTGGTCCATGAGTGGTTGTTAAATATTTTAGGAAGTTGATGTTTGCAATATTATAAAGCTGAACATACTGTTAAACAGAAATAACTATTGCCTTACTTAGCCTGTGACTAGCTTGAAGACGGGTCTGTTTTATATAACTGCTTAGTAATGTTTTCTCTTAAAAGTAGATCATAATATTGTAAAATTTTTCCCAGCTTTTCTGGAAGCCATCTGCAAAATGAACTAATATAAGTAAATTTAATTACACTAGCACCAACTTTCCAAGCAGTTATAGAATAGATTAGAAAAGTCACAGTGTCACATCTCTTGAATGTTCCTACAACAGTATTATTTCATAAAACAACCCCAAGACCTAAAATGCATTATTCTCGCATCTATGACGCGAAAATGGTCGACTTTAAAATTGCAATGTTTGATATATGTATGAGAATAAGCACTGGGGGTTGGTTGATGTTTAGAAAATTCAACCTGTACTGTATTATATGAAACAAACTGGGAGAGATTTCCATATAGAGCAGAACAAACTAACCCGCTGTTTACAGTTAATTCATGGTGCTACTTGCAATCATTTTATATAAACAGCCATTGGTAATAAGGTATGGCCTTGTTGGATTGTTAACACGTCTACCTATGTGTGTAGCCAGGACGTTCATTAGTAATAATGATTATAACACGTGTATGATCTGCTCGTTGTAACCATCAAGTGGCCTGTAGTATCCTCAAGTGGTATGATAGAATGGAGAGAATTATTGGACTTGAATCACGGTAATCAAAATGCCTCTGAAGACAGGAACAGAGAGGAGACCGTTTGTTTGTTTATTTATTTACTTAATTATTATTTGCTTCAGTTGGGTATTATTTACTGATATGAGATAGATGGTGAAGACTGTATGATTAATTAAATAATTGTACAGGTACATGTACAATTCGTTTTAAATATCGTGTAATATAGTGCACTTCTCTGTACATTACATATTTACAGAAGTTTAATACACGTAGATCATTAAAAACTGTATTAAACTTGTAGTTATTTAACTTGGGATAAAGTTACATTATTTTGCAATTACATGCAGTAAATATTAAAATAAACCTTGAAAATAACACTTGCGTATGTTTTTATATATAAAACGTCATAATCTTATTGTAATATTGATTTTTGTATCCTTTTTCTGTGTCAAGAGCAAGCGTTTTTAAGAATCAAATGTACAGCGACACTATTCAAAATTCGTTATATCTATTGATGGGCGTTGGTCCCAAAACGCGATTGGTTCCTTTAAAAAGTACTTGTTGGTGTAGTTACAGGCAAACTTCGACTTTGCTAATTCTGTGAGATGGAATAGCTGAAAACACATTTTGTTGCCTTGCTCCTAAAATGTCAAAGCATGTACGTGAATTTTAAAAACACTCATATGGACTGCAATGTAAGTCCTAGTGTGGTAGTTTCAAATTATGTAGGATATGTTTGGTTTCCAATCCACAGCCTCTACGGGAAGTTTTGATTTTTTCAGAAGTGAATTTTTGGTCTACTTTCAGTCTAGCTCCTAGTGTGTTTTTTCTTAACCTCACACGAAAACGAACCGTTTACTTCTTAAATGTCTCACGAAAGAAGTAAACAAAGCACACTTAAACGGTTGTTCAAACTGTTAGTTATCTCAAAATATGATACCTCTCGAATGTTTAAACTAAATGAGTGGACGGAAACAGACATTTTGTTTTACCCGAGACCTCTCTTATTAATCAGGACAATATAACCTGAATGTGAACAAATAAAATAAACTACCACCTTTCATCACAAGAAATCAAATATGAAAATGCATTATCTTGAAATTCAAGACTATTTTGAAAGCATTTAAGTGCTCAGTTTTGAAGAAAGGACGATAACCCTCAGCATGCGGTTGTAGCAAGTTTTTCACAACTGCAAACGAATGGCCTTAAAGAGGCAAGTCACCGATAGAACATTAAAAAGTAGAACGGGTTACAAAAGTTCAGTTTTCAATATGTGTGTGAACAATTTTGCGTAGTTTATAATTTATCCTGTCCCATCTAAGCTATACACAACAGTGTTATTTGTAGTTGTCGTAGATGCTGATGCAGCGTCCGTATTACTACCAATTTCCGCAGTTTCCATGGGCTTATCTTGGCCTCCAGTGAGTGGGGTCACAGAACCTGACCTTTTTTTCCTTGCCGCCAAATTCCAGCGATTTTTTGCTGTCAGAGGCGCGTCCACGTGGTCTTTTAGGACAGCGAGAGTCGTCTCCTTGCGTTTGGTTGTAAGGTTCCTGCGTTCCTTAAGTTTTATGTTTGACTGGGCTTGCGTGTAATACAAAGTGAAGTTATTCACTATAATAGGCACCGTAAGAGCAATAAGCAGAACCCCAGACGTTGCGCAAACTGCTCCAAGAATCTGACCCAAGGTGGATTTTGGAACAGTTTCCCCATAACCGACGGTTGTCATTGTTATTACTGCCCACCAGAATCCAACAAAGATTGACTTAATTTGATTTTCGTCATCAGTAAGACTCGCCCTTTCAATTTCATAAACTATACATGCAAAAATAATTACCCCAATACCCAAAATGAGAATCAGTAAGAAAAGTTCATTGATGCTAGAGCGGATCGTAAAAATCAGAATCTTCAAAGCATAGACTTGTTTCATGAGGATTAAACAACGGAAGATACGCAAAACCCGCCAAAAATAGAAAAAATGGATCCAACCAGATAGTGTGGCCGGGTCTGGATGAAAAACAACCAATAGGAAAGCGACGTAGTAGGGGACAATGCAAACCATCTCCAGAATGGTGAACGGAGAGCGAAGGAAGCGCAGTTTGTTTGGACAGGACGCAAATTTCACGCAGAATTCTAAGAAAAAGAATATATTGCAAGCGTGGTCAATGAAAAGCAGTATTCCAAAAGGCCTTGCATGTGTCATTGCTTTGAGGTCGTCCATGCCGGCTACGTATATAGCCTCACTTCCATTTTTGGTTTCATAGACACGGAGCGGTTCGTAACTCTCCAGGCAGAGATCAATAATTGAGATGCAGACGACAACGAGTGAAGTTATGGCAAATACCTGGAAAAAAGTCAATATGAAAAAAGTTCGGTTAAATGTTTTTTTTTCACTGTCTCTTGTAAAATGGCGATAAAAAATCATAAAAAAGTTGATGAAAATAACTGAATCATCTAACTTTTCTGACGTCTTGTATGCTTTCAACTTATAGGCTACTCTTGCGAGCAGGCTCACCTGTTGCTCTTTGTTAAATGAAATGGTTAGCACCATCAAATGAGTCATTGACTCTATATCAATGCTACTTTAAACCGCTAACTTAAACCCTTCGATTAGGCACTTTTATTAAACAAACAATTATATCAAAGCCACATGTTATCTGGTACACGTACCTGCGCGCCAATTGAAGATCGCGGGTATTCGAGAAATCTCCATATTTCCGGACGAAGTCGCTGCCAAAAGCTTTTGCCAACATCAAAAGCCACAACAGACCTCTCTTCATCCGCTTTGCCGGAAATTTCCTCAAACTTTGCCAGAGCCTCTTTTGTCTCACTGTAAGCACGGTATTCAACCCAGCAACACGGTTCGATATGCTGCTCGTCCAATTGCCAAAAATCCAACTCATCTCTGATCACCGGGCCGCACAAATTATGGGGAAAATGAAGTTTACCAGTCCGGTAAAAATTCAAGACATAACTGAAAATCTCCGGGTGACGATCGAAAAAGTATTCCTTTCTTTTTTGAACATTGTTGTTAAAATGGCTTTCACTTTCGCGGCATCTGTGGAGCTCGGCGGCAAAATCGCCTAGTTTGGTCCCTGGCAGACCAAGCAGAGTTTTAATGGAGGTAACATGACGGACACCACCAACGTTGAGAAACACTTTGTCCTCATCGTCGCAGAATTCTCCATCTGGTAAAAAGGTCGAAGAAACACCAGATTCTAGAGACCTTACAGCGTCAAAACTACCATATTCTACCATTCTGTATTCTGTCATTGTTTTTGTCCATTGTTCAGTTGCCTCAAAAGTAATGTCAACAAACAATATTTAATACAAAAAGTCTTGACCCCAAAAAAAGTTCTGTAAGGGTTGATGCGTCCACTCTACATGTAATGGAATACGAACCATCAGCGACGTCCGTACCGAGTACCTAGTATATTGTAGTCTGTGTTGTGGCTGTATTGTCACAGCTGTACCTACATCTCCGTTACTATACCAATCCAGCATTTGCAGCCGCCGCAACGCAAACATGTCACCAGAATTTCAAAAGGAGGTGTCTTGATTAAACATAAAAATGACAAATAACCGAAAACAACTTTTGATTCAGAGCAGACCTTTTTTCAACTAGAAGACTGACTCTTTCGATCCCCCCCCCCCTTCCCCCCGAACACTCTTTACCCACGGGTCTATTTCGCTAAATAAAAGCTAGGCGTGTTGCTTTATAGCTTGGCAAAGGTTAAACACATTGTTTTTAAATCTTTTGAAGTTTTATATTAGAATATAATCATAGCCATGTATACTACAGTACGTTTGCATGGGCAAAAGTATGAATGTGCGCGCCACCCTACGTGCAGATAGATAGATAGATGGATGCATAGATAGATAGTGCATTTGTGTAAATTACTAGGACATAAAGCAATTTTTCGTTACTGGATCTTTTCTCAAATGCTATAATGAATTGTAGGGCACTGTATCCTAAATATGTCTTTAAGAGACCTTGAGATGTCAAGACGTATCCGGGTTAAAATAGCATTTAAGCTTCCCGATCTCAGTAGGTACTGCGGACATAGATGATTGAGAACTATCACATCTGTAAGTTAGACACAGATAGTTGGAGTGCTATCAGCAGCGTGATAGATTGTCAGCAGCGTGATAAACAAGAAGACCTGCAAGTTATATAGGTATATACCGCGTACGTATATTTAGTGGTCGTTGGTACTACAAGCTTTGGTTCATTTCCAAAATAGATAAATAAACAAATATATAAACGAATAAGAAAACAATAATAATATGATATAACAGGCTTGACCCAGTCCCTTTAGAAAGTTTAAATGTCTGCGTTTGCATTGGTCTCAGTAATAAATTCATGAACTAGTCGCCATTTAAATGGATGTTGTAAACCGGAGACATGCGTTATCTCTTGGATTTCATTGGATATTATACATCAAATTTTACTATGTTTTAGAGAAATACGTACATCAATATCAACATCAAATGGCGGGTGGCAAGATATACCATCTTATAGTTGGATTTGTCTTGTTTAACTTTGTGATGGGTAAGTCATACGATTATGCAAATTGCATGGACACGGATTTCACCTCTTGTCATATTTTCATCTCTTATGCAGTAATAACCGCAAGTATACTTTCCTTCAGAAAGTTCACCTATAAAATTATCACAGCCACACGTTCTTTGACTTTAATTTTAAAAAACCACTTATGTCTGTTGGCTACTTTCCAAAACATTGACTTTCATTGGTACTTTGTCTTCAATTCAAGGGGTGTAAGTGAAACACTTTTAATATCTGCAGGTATTTTGATACCATGTGAGGAACCAAACGGTGAACGTGGTCTCCCACTAAAAGACGAGAACGACACTCCAATTTGCTGTGACGTTGATAGGTGGGAGACCTGCAAAAAGCCCCAGAAGTGTCCTTCTGGCTACTACTGCCAAGTCCCTCAGCACAAACTGTGGGCGTTTTGTTGCCCAAAGTACCATAATTAACTGACTGCCGTCCGTCATACTTCGGATGATTCCGTTTGATGCAATGAGGTAGAATTGAGATTGACCGAATCAATCAATGATCATTAGTATGGCCTATAGTTATTTAAAGTCATGAAGACCTTTCTCGGCTATTCATTTACCTAAACCATATGTACAGACCTCATTTAAAAGGGTATATAATATCTTAAAGAATTCGTTTATAGATATATTATCATGAAAATGTCTAAACATGAAGGATATTCCAAACATGAGTTAGTCGTTGATCGCAAATAAAGCATTAGAAACATTCGCCTTTCGTGCTCATGAAATATTTCTTTTGGTCCCTTTCTTTTTGTGTGTTCAAAGGCCATGACTTTGTTTTCATTCATCGACATATTAATGCACTGTTGATCCTCTGTCGATACTTTGTTGATATTCAAAAGTGTGCAAGTTTTCTTTTTCAAAAATGAAATCGGTAAGATTCGAAAATGCACACTGTCAACGCTTTTTGATGACGGGGAAAAAATACTGGATATTTACCGATAATACACAACCAACAATGAATTTGTAACGACCAGTATATCTTGAATACGGCACGTAATATTAACATCCAGGTTATGTTACACTTAATCCAAACTGTATAAACATATCTGATCCTGCGAATCATTTGGGTGAATGAGCTCGTGAATGCTTTTCTAAGGTTAGATTTCGATCGGCACATTATCTTTGTGACAAACTGAAGATGTTCGGGAAAACTTTTTCACATACACCTTACATTGTGACGCACGTATTTCATAAAATCAGTATTATGCTTTGTTTTCATTACCAAAAATTTGAAAAAAGGGATAACAGCGATTGATTTAAATAACCATGTTGCAATAATACACTTTCTTAAAATAAATCAACACCAAGTGCGTCAAAACAGTATTGAATGGCTTAGTAAGCAAGGTAAGATTAAAAAGCAGTGCATACACATACAGGCAAATGCTTAAATGACAGCCACATACAGAAAGTATATCCACTTCCGACTCATTTCATACCAAATGGCACAAGATTCTCAGTTGTTCTCAATACGAGAGACACAAAATTAAATTCAATGACAGCCTGATTAATAGATTAAACGGACAAGATACGTTGTACTTAGTCCACAATATGTAGTGATTGCATGCACACCTGAGGAGAAAAGTCAGGAATCACACGCTCCGTTTACCGTCTGTTCATCTGAGTTGGGTACTTGACTATATCGATAAAAAACCACAGGAAGAGCGCCATTAGGGACGAAGTCGAAACTTATGCAGTAATCAATTCATATTGTTTTTTTCTCAAGTAAAATCTAATTTGCATCCAGGCACTGGTTGTTTGGTGCCTAAATCTCGTTCGGAGGAGGAAAAACACCAGTTTTGAACGTGGCTTTGATTTGTACACTGCGTCTAAAATGCGTCTCAGCGCTCCGTTGTTGGGTAAGTGTGATGCACGAACGGTGCACAGATTTGATTTAGAATGCGAGTTTACTATCAACAAATAGCTGTTTTAACAGTAATCCCTTTTGATGAAATAAGCCATGAGTATCTTATGCGTACATGATCTTAACTAGAAACAGTAAAAGTCCATTTAGCTTTTTGTCATCGTGAAATTTTTCGTATTTTGTATTTTTTTTAAATTATTTTTTGTATCTTGTATTTAAATCTCAATTCATCTAGTTTTTGATGTCACCATCAAACGACACACTCACAGACAGACATGTAATATTAAAAACCTATTTTATACCTACGTACATATCTTCATGCGGGTCCTACACGGGTGGCATTGCTGTATTTTAGTCCCTTTTGCCGTTGTATTGCTCTGTGGCACAGTAGTACATGGATGTCGAAAGTTCTGTAAGCTACAAGACTGCACCACAGATGGAAACGGTGACCAATTGCTGGAAGTGATCCACGATGCAACTGTGATAGATTGCATGCAAAGGTGTGGACAAGACGAAAGGCAAGTTGGCTTATATCTTTACTTACATTTTGCATCGTGTGCCTAAAATGAAAAAAATATATTGTGCAAGAGTTGTAAACAAGCTTCATTCTTTCAAATCAAACCAGACAACTCTGAAACAACGATGCTCTTAGGCATTTGGATAGTTTTTTTGTTGATAAGTTCTGTATACATATATACTCAATTGTTGATATAAACCATTCATCGTAAAAAAACAATTCGATGATGGACGCGCCCAAGAATCCTCTGCTACATATTGCGAAGCTTTTATCTTTAAATCTTGGAAATTTTCACGTTCCTCCAAATCTTTCAAAACCGGACCTCGGCTATACACAGGCATGTAAATGGCAGGTTTGCAATTACGAAAAGTTCTGGCGAAACACGTTTTATGGCTACGGTTAAGTCATTGATTTTGTGGGCTGTTGCAAACTTTTATTAGTCAGGAAACGGCATTCGGTATTACCGGGTTATTAGCTTAATCAGGAAACGGCATCTGGAATTTACTGCATCAAGCACTTTGAAAATTCTCTGTCCAATTACTAATTCATACAATTTCATATAATTTGCCATTATCATTTTGCATTTATTTTTTTCAGCTGTCAGTCGTTTTCATACAAAAAATCAGTCAGCAAGTGTAAACTTTACAATGGAGATGTGCTTGCAGAAGGAGCTTGCAGAAGACATAATGAACAATACGCAATTTATTCCACAGCGGCTTGCAAAATCTTCGCAGTATCTCCAGTCACTGAAAGGAACACGGCACAAGGTAAATGTTTATATATGACTTTAATGTAAAATGTAAAGATAGATAGATAGATAGATAGATAGAATTCCATAATATACAAATTATGACAAATTTATAAATAATTCGGGCAAAACAGAAGGATTGTATATACATAGGCTTAACCGAAAAAACAACCATCTATTATCTGGCCTTGTTTTATGACAATGCTTTTTGGCATAACCTAATACACCTAGAGATGTCTCGCACATATGGATTAATAAAAACATTAGCAACTACTTGTGGAAAGTTATTTCTAATTGCAGCTGTTTTTACACAGAAACAAACCACGTGGCTTTCAGACTGTATACTCTCACATCTCTGTCCACCTTCGTTTCTCTTTTTCTAAATTATGCGCGGACAGTCTTAGCTTTGTTTTGCTAGTCGGTAATATTGTTGCCAGTGTGAATTTGGGCTAATATTAATTGAACAAAATTTAATTTACTACCATCTGTCGCTCGTACGATATAGGCCTAGCCTAGCCTTTTCGTGACAACTTCCATATAACATTTAAAGGGTCATTCATCTATGACATTTTTCTGACATTTACTAGCTTAGAAATAAAATTATTTTGGATGTTATGGACTCCTCCTCCTACTCCGAGTTTTAATTTTACTTAATCGTCGCTCTAGATATTGGCACAACAGCTGGAGATCAACCAGTTATGACCACAACGGGCACAGTTCAACCAGATACTACAACAACTGCGTCAGCTTATCCCACTGCTGCCACCAATGTAGCTGCTGGAAACTGTTCTGCCTTCGTCAGGTATGACCACCAGGTCACATCCGATGGTCCGAGCTCCGTTGACAAATATGATACTGGTGGCATTGGTAAGTGAAATAGTTTTTTCCTCGAAAGTTTTCTATTTTACTATATTCTTAAACCGTTTTTATATTTTTATTATGCTAAAACTGTTTAGAACTGGTGTACTATGTGTTTAGTTTGCCTCGATATTGGATAATCTATACATTTGTCAGTTTTTTTTAAAGACAATTAAATTCTAAATATTGTATTTTGTGTTTTAATGTAACACTTTGTTCGTTTTTCTCTAAAGGGTATACCGTAGAGAACTGTCAGACATTTTGTCTGGCTGAGAACACGTTTCACTGCACCGCAGTGAATCACATAATCGACCATGGTCATGGCCTAGGCTATTGTAAACTATATGGCTTCGTTCCCTACGCAGAGAATAATGTAATTTCCTACAGAAAATTCTGCACGGATGAGGCTCTAAGTACGTCGTAAGAGAGTATCAACTGTTTTCGCCGCTTTAGATGGATATTTAATTTACTCTTTATAAAATCAGATGGCGACCCTGAACTGAAACATATTTCACGTGTTGCATTTTTTCAATTGTTTTCAAATATTCTTGCTTGATAATGTTTTCTTTCTTGGATCATATACTTTTTATTACTGTTTATATAACATGACAAAGTCTGACAATTTCACGCATAATTTTTTTCAGGTTCCTGTTTCTTAGAAGAATTGGGTCAAAATCTTTCCATATATCACACACTTCAGTACTCGGTGGGTAACAGTTCTTGTGCCTCGCAGTGCTTTGACAAAGAACGCTGTATTGGATACAGCACATTTACAACGTACAATCTCTGCCGACTTTTCTTCCAAAGAAAATATCCTCGAAATTGGGCCACCCTCTCTATTCGCCTCCGCAAATGTGGATAAAAAGCACCAAGGTTGACAAAATTTGGACACACGTGCACTATTTTTCACGCGCGAGCGTATAAACAAAGACAAGACACTCCAACGCACGTGCACACTCCATGCACAGTCCCATACTATCGACATTGATCCTATCAAATTAAAGGTCTTGGTCCTAAGCGAATGCAAAATGTGTAATATCCAACACTTCACTTATAAAAGCCGCTAAAAATATCAACCAGAATCCAAACCACACGTGTAAACTTTAGGCAATCCACATATTCTACTTTCACTTTTAGATTATCTCGGTGACAGAGAAGAAATAAAATGATATTGATAGTAAAAATGCTTTTTTGTAACAAACTGCAAATTTACTCACGTGAGCTATTTGGATTGACTGTTGGCCATCTTTGTCAGGTGCTGAGTGACACAGATAGCATTGTGTCACATAGTCGAGAATATTTGTCGCTATGTGACACAACGCCATCTGTGAGAGATGTCACGTGAGTAAATATGCAGTTTGTGGCATAAGAGTATTTTACCTATTATCATCCACAAAAGTGATGAGCCTTTTTATACATCTGTTTATAGATGATATAGATTACTTTCACTCCATAACTTTAAGGAGACTTGAATTGGATTTTAATGTACATAAGAATATTATAAGAATATTACAAAAGATTTTTTAGATTTGATCAGATGAGAAAATGTGTACAGTGCCACTATTTTGTCAACATACAGCCTTTAAAACTTGCGTGATTTGGATTATTTTTTTATTTTATTATTATTTTTTTTTTTTTTTGAAAAAGATCAGGCTTCAAAGAATTCTAAATGAAAATAGCATTATTCCATGTGAGAATGTGAGGTAATGTGAGATTCTATACTTAAATTGTTTTACATAATATC